ATCTTGACTTTTTTTTTTCTCAGAGCCTTGAATCATGAATCTTGTGAACATCTGCTCACATTTAAAACCTTCTGTAGCTCACAGTGTCAGTCAGCCTCTTAAGGCCTCACAGCTCCCTGCGTTGGCGCTCTTCTGAAGCCGTGAACAAGAACTCTGTTCTTTGAGCTTCTGTAGAACTGACAGGAAGAGATTTCACAGGAGTAGTGTTGTTGTCAGCTGCATGCCTCAGCTGATGTGTAGCTTCAGTGATGGCCAGCAGCCTGATGAATAAAACCCAGCTGTTATTACTTTGCGTCTATGTACCAGCAATGTACCTCTTATTTTATATCCAGCATTCAGCTGCATCAGACATGGCTGTTATACCTTATCAGCTTTTGTTTTAAATGCAGATGTTTTAGTCGTTAATTGCAAATCTAGCTTTTATGAACATTTGACTTGCTGATGCACTTTTTAGCTCCTAGAGGAACCAACGCTGTAGTGGGAGGAGCCGAAAGGTCAACAGCACCATTATTAAACACTTTCTTATATATTGTGCACCTCTTGAGTTTTCACTGATCAAAAAAGACTGAGGTTTGAGTTTTCTCCTGACCAATCACCAGTCAACAAATTATTTCTATTCAATGGCTGGTTGACCTGCCTGCCTTTCTCAGTGCATCCCCGGATTTATAACAGTGTTACTTTAATAAGACTAATGAGCAGAGTTTCACTAGCATTAACTAGTAACTACATGACTCGTTCTTACTACCAGAAGCATTATAAAAACCTAAGGCTATGCTCAGCATCGTGCTTGTCCCGTACCCACTAGTTGTTTTGTTCCTGATTTTTGTGTTCACCTCGTTGGCTGTAAATTTCATTTTGATCATAATTTTCCATTAAATCTTCACCATCTGCTCGATGCTTCACCCTCTCTGTATTCATCCACCACAACAATAATCGAACATGACAGCTGTTAAAGTTAACTATTAGAAGTGCTGTTGATACAAGCAGCACTGAATGTTTTTGCATTACATAGCAAGTAGTTCCAAAAGAAAATAAACAAATTACATTTTTATTGCTGATGATGTAGACAATGCATGTATTCCTCACGGCTGAGTTATGCAGGCTGACAAGTACTATTGTTTTGCTTTGGTTCATTGTTAGTCAGGAGTTAGAAATCTGCACTATACTTGGCAGAAAAGACATGTTTGTGTTGTGATTTATTAGTGTAATGAAGTCTCTTCAACTCAACTGATCCCATTCAAGTGCACCCGGCACTTGCCTTTGCTCTAAAGCAAGTGAATCAAAGTCAAATTGGATAGCATGATGTATCATATCAACTTGTGTTTTTTTTTTACTTGCATATCTGAAATCACTCATAGTGTATAGCCAGTGTCTGTGTCCAGATATTAGATATTAGATTTTCCTGTAGAGAGGGGTTGGGGTGCAGATCAGTTCATGAACTAAATGAGGTTTTCACAGTTTCTTGAGCAGAATAAATTAAACTGTTTAAAATAGATTGAGCTGAGTGACTGTGGAGGTCAGTCACTGCTTTAAGTCTCTGATGTTGAGCTTCAACATTTTCTCATACTGCATCGGCTCATACTGGCATCATCGGCCACTTTGATGCGCCACATGCTGGTCTTGTGCATACGTCACTGCTCATTGCTGGGAGTTGGATGCGGGGGTAACATGGCAGTAGATCTGTTGGCTTGGTGTCACCTAGATGGACAGACTCATCAGCACGTGGCACTGATTTGTCTGCCGTCCCACATGGTGGTTTGTACCTCTGCCATCCAATGCTGTGAAAGATCTGCAGAGACCACAGAACTCCCATTAAGTGTACATCTTAGTGTACGTCTAAATATACACTGGGTTCTATTTCGATGCATCAGAGTAAAAAAGTTTAAACTCTCGACATGTTTATGAGAAGAAAAATGTTTGAAAGCAAGTTTTGTTTTCTTACTTCTTTACAATCCGTCACTACTCCGTGTTGGTTTGTCACATAAAATCTAGATGAAATATGTTGAGTTTCGGTGTGAAGACCAAAACTTAACATTTACAATTTAATAAGTGTGAAGACTTTTGCAAGAAGCTGTACTTGGGCAGAGCAACATGAACACAAGATGTGCATCATTACACCACTGTGTTTGTGTGTGAGGAAAGGGGTGGGTTTTGTTGGCAGTAACTTATGGCTGCTACTTTCCTGTGGGTGGAACAATGTCTGGAAGTGAGTCAAGCCTTTGTAAATGTCCTGTCCTGATAGATCTGCTTGTACCACCCTGAACTTCAGCTGCTCGGCTCATTTCTCAGCCTGCAGTCCATCAGCGGCATGCTGGATGCTCGTCTTTATTCCCTCTACAGAGAAAATGGCAGGACTCTGCGTGTTGGCCTTTACTTCTGGAGGTGTTGTATTTTACCCTTTACGTAACCTGTTGTCCTCCTCTATGTCCTCCCCCCTCTCTCTCTTTGGCTCTTTGGAAGAAAAATGGGGCACTGGGGTGGTTGTGTTCTCCTGAGGATGGTGCTCAAATTGGTCAGTGATTTGAAGGAGCGTTAGGCAAGTGCAAATGTGTTTTAGGGGCATCATCAGCATTTCTGACTTTCAGGGTGAGAGTAGTGCGCTCTAAGTGATCGCACTAAAGTGGAATAGAGCGGGCTCTAGCAACAACAGATAATCTGATTAAACCTGAAGGAAGGAACTGAAAGAGGAAAACTCTTTGGTGTGTTTGGGTTAGACTCTATTACCAGGTTATCTTTGTTGATAAGCGATGTTTACACCTGTATCGTCATCTGTGAGGTTAGTTAAATGGATCCACAATCAGTTAAAACGACAGACTTTACTTTATTCAGTTTAGACAGTGCAGTAAATACATTGTGAACTGTTTGGTTTTCCAATTTAAATAAAATATTGTCACATGGACGGATGGTTTCTGGGTAAATGATGCATGCTAGGTCCAATTGCGCTGCCAAAACAGCAATGAGTAACATGTAAACAGCAGTGTCTGTCTACATTTCCAGAGATTGTAAATTCAAACCGCTGAGATAATCAAGCATTTCTCAGGATTTGCAAATTCATTATCTTCTACAGCAGACAGAACTGGATAAAGTGCTGTAAGTCGTGCTCTCCTGCAGCCTGAATAACCTGCAGGTAAACAATATTGAGTCTTCAGCTCACCACTAATGCAGCCAACTGATCCTTGGCTGCATTAGCCGTGTCTACATGGCTATATATACATATATATATAAAAAGCCCAAAACAATGCGTTCGTCTAGTTTTGCTGACTGCCTCTGCCTCAGGAGGATGCACAGGGAGCTGTGATCTCTCCTGTTTGTTGATCTGGTGACTGCAACAGATTCTACAGACCTGCAGCTGTCTGCCAGCTTTGTAAAAATTCACCTCAATCAGACACAGCTGGTGTGTTTGTGTCAGACGGTCCCAGTCTGGTTAGTCCCATCCTGTTCCATGATGTTTGACTGTGTGAGTTTGTTTAAATGGTTGTCTAACTCTGCTGTGTGTTTTGGATAAAATCCTCATGTTTTTCTGACCACAGTGGTCAAGACGGACCCTCCCTCACATTCCACAGGCCCTCTGCAGCGACCCGCCTTCTCTTGACAGCCATTTGAATGTCAATGTCTCTAATCCTCCCGGTAGAGCCGAAATTAGTTTGAGCCAATTCAATACGTGACTCATTTGATTTGTCTAACTCCATGATTTCACCCTTGTTTTCTGGATTGTAAGAATCATAGAGATCAACACATTTCCTGAATGTAACGTCACTTGGATTACTCTAATAACAGATTTCTTGTTAGTGTTTGTGCTAGTGTTTTAATTATTATTATTTTATCTTATTCTACCTGATGCATTTTTCTCTTTCTATTGAAGTGATTTTATCATTTTGTCACTTCATTTTAAAATAAATACAATGTATTATTATCTAGCATAAAATGTAAGAAGGTGTAGCATCTCACATCTATTCAGAGAACAGGGAACTAATGCAATGAGTCTTAATTCAAGAACTGAGTTCAGTAGCTGGCCTGCTTCTGTTTCTGATTCTCCATGCTGATCTAATCAACCCTGAATTACAGAGATAGAAACAATTTATTATCACATGGACGTGCATCACACAACCAGAAACCCAAAACCTTTAACTTCAGCATGTGCGTCATGCAGCATGTAATCTTCTGAAAATGGCTGAATCTAAATGGATCATATTGTTAAACACCAGAGTGTAGCCATGGATAAAGTGTCATGTTTATTTACTCATATTTGTGGCTGCAGTTGCAGACAAGCTGCAGCCACAAAGATGGGATGGCTGTTAAACGGGATCGTACTTTTAGGAAAGTAGAGACATGCAGAGGTGGAATAAAACATTTTTGGCTCAAAGAAGATGATCAGAATATCTGGAGTTCACTTCAGGGCGTGCAGGCGCAAAACTGTGAGGTGTCAGCATCTTCTTTTTCCTGCTGCTCTGCTTCAGTCAGTTTCATCAAACGTCACACAGTGAGCTTTGATCTGGAGCTACACTTTTATTAGAAGACAATGTCTTCCTGACATCCTCACTAACAGATATATGGTCTGACTACCATGGCAACAGAGGGGAGAATTTTGATTGGAGGAATGTATCATAGCCACATAACAGCAGCCAGATATACTAGGAAAGCAGTAAAGTCTGGGAGAGCAGCTAATGAATTATTACTGGGAGATCATCCCTGCTGCTCAGTCACTATTTGCATCCTGCTTTTTACTTATTTTACAGCATAATAGCTGTTTCATCAAACTACAGCCAACTCAGGTGAAAAGCAAACACATCTCTGTGAGAGAATAAGTCAGTAAAAATACAAAAACCTTGCAGCAAGATGTGCTTTAAATACGATCTCATTCATACTGATAAAATCATCGACATCATGAAAAGTAAAATGGCTTTAAAAGCATTTGCTGCAGTGGGATGATAAAAAATGTTATACTGTTATATTACTATAAAGCCTTAGCAAAGCCACTAGCTTCTTCATCTGTTTTCCAGAATCAGTCTACCGCCGCGGGGCCAGAAGATGGAGGAAGCTCTACCGAGTGAACGGACACCTTTTCCAGGCCAAAAGCTTTAACAGGGTGAGTCTCTCACCATACTCTGACACACACGTTTCGCTCTCAGCTGCAGACTATTGGAGGAAAAGAGTGAACAAAGATTGAATCTGATATATTTGACTGAATCCATTAGTATTTAAAATTTAAAGCTTGATATACACTCATTTTCTTTGGATGTGCTGTTTTTTTCCCCCATAATGAAACAACTGTCAGTGTTTTTAGAAAATTTCATTCAATGAAGAGTTTGATGTGAATTCCAACCTGCAGATTAAATCAATGATGTTTTTCTCTTAATTTGCCTTGTGCTTGTATTTATAGATGCTGTCTAAAATATGGCATGCAATGTGCAGACATACAGACAGTCATAAGTGCTAGTTGTTGCTGTTATGTGAGCTGCAGACTGCAGCTGCTGCACTGTAAAAGGATAATCTTGATTATTAGCAGGGGTGTTGATAGATTATTTTGTGAAAGCATTGGCTCATAGCAATCTGTTGATGTTAGCTGTAGGTGTAGAAAATGGTTTTCAATATTGTTAAAAATTGTATAGAATAAGAAGAAAATCTGGTTTAAAGCAATTCATAATGAAGTGTTGGACAATATGAATGCAGAGATAAATAGATGTCAATTTACTAATTCCAGGGACAAAAAGGGCCAGACTTAAGACTCGACTTGCACTTTAACACATTTGTACATTGCCAGTTCATCCCAAGCTACACTTGTGGCTGACGACTCCTTTACATATCTGAAATAATTGGGTGCCAAACAACCAAAATGTTGAAGAAAGTTCATATACTGTGTATATATATATATATATATATTATATATATATATATATATATATATAATATATATATATATATATATATACAAAATTTGTTCACAAAACTTCTATCTCAAAATACTTTACAAAATGTATTTAATTTTTATTCAGAAATATTTAGTAAATTCAATCCAGTCATGCAGAGAGTATTTTTCAGTTTATTACTTAAACTGATTACCCCAAAGTGATTTAGGTCATGATCCTGAAAAGTAACTTTTTATCTACAGTTCAGCTGAGAGGCAGTCTCATTCAGAAATGCACTAAGAAAAATTGGTAGCACCTTATTTGATGGAATGTGCATAAGACTGACATGACACTGTCAGAAACATGAAGGAGGGTTAATGAACGTCTGAATGTTGTCATGAAGAGTCATTCTGTAAATAATGACACTTTTAATGCAACGTTGCCCTAAAAGTTGCGTTGAAACCTTGAAAGTCAATTAAAAGTGCCAACTTTGCTTTAAAGTGTCATTATTTACAAAATAATGCAAAGTTGGACTTTCAAGGCAACTTTTAGATCAACTTTGCATTAAAAGTGTCATTGTTTATTTATAACTCTGACATGCTAAACCAGTGCAGTCAGAGCAACCTGGTGTATCATGCTATGTATGGTGCATGCAGTGTTCTCACATGAGGCTGGATTTTTGAGTTCCCATATGGCCAATCGACATTGAGATTTGATGAAGATGAAATTTTCTCAAGTCAAGCCGCAATTGTTGTTGTAATGGTAATCAAGTCAGATCCACAGCTGAGCTTTCTGACTGCTGATCCATAATTCATGCTGACCTAGTTGTGGTTTGTTTAGCTGATGCCTCGTCTCTGAGAGGTGAGCTTCCAACATTTCCCTTCAAACTGCCTTCTCAAACAGGATGTAAGTGATCTTTTATAGACTGGAAGAAATGCATTCAAGTGCTTTCAGATCTTAAGTAGCATGGTCGCACTGAAAGGAGATCAGGTTCCACCTGCCAGTAAAAGACCTCGCATCTGTGTTTAATGTTGTTGAAAGGTTTGGCTTTGGCATGTTGGGGTTATTCCCTAAAGTTTGCCCGTTAGGCATTGGCAGATACATTTCCGGAAAAAAGTATTCACCCCTTGGATGCTTCACAGTTTTACTGGTTCTAGAAATCAACCGTGGTCAAAATAATTTGTCTTCTCTGGTGCTGGTTGTCTTACAGTGAGTGGAGCAAAGATCAACAGAGTGCAGAGAGCGTGCTTCTAGTATAAAGACAGCTGGTTCTGGAAGGTCCATTCAGTGGTTCAGTGTACCTGGCTATCATCACAGCACGACTAGTGAGAGTAAATACCTGGTCACCACGGCTACGCCGAGGCAGTTTAAAGCGTAAGCTGATGATTGTTGCCAGCCAAAGCTTAATGGGAGTGAAGCGATGAGAAAGCCACTCATCAATGCTGAACTAGAGTTTGCCAAAAGGCACACAGGAAGAGGCTCCAGGGTTTAGTTGAAGAAAATTGTTTGGTCTGATGAAACCAGAATGGAGCTTTTTAGGCAGACAAGACACCAAACACTGCTCATCAACACAAACACACCGTCTCTGCAGTGAAACATAACGTTGACTGCATCATACTGCATCAGCAGCGGGCCCTGAAAGGCTTTTAAATCTAGAAGGTCAGATGAAGGCAGAAGAATGAAGGGAAATCCTGGAGGACAATTAGTTTCGATCAGCAGGAGAACTACAGCTTCAGAGAAAAATGTATTATCCAGTATTTCTCTTTGCTTTGTTGAGAACATCTCTTTGGACTTTTGCGTCTCACAAATGTTCAATTTCTTCCCACTTACTATTGTTGAATTAATGAGAAATTACAGATGATGCATAGTAAGGCACTTTAACTGGTCCTGATCCAGTTTTCATGTCTGCATGTAAATATAAGCCAACAGAAATATTCTCCTGATTATTAATGTTTGTACTAATGTTTGTACCTGAACACCATGTTGTTTTTTGCATTGTAAATATCAATAAACCCCATATGCATAGTCAGTCTGACTGTATACCTTCTACTCTCATCTTCCTCTGTGTCATTATAAGCCAAATAATAAACCTCTGGTGCTAATCTTTAGCAGCTCAGCTGCTAAATCTGAACACAGAATGGTGAAACAAAGGTCATCACAAGGTTCTTAAAATGTTTAACCTTTATGGCTTTGTTTGATGTTAAATGAACAGCTGCACACTTAGTCAATGAAATATTTCACTGAGTGTATTTTACTGAGCCTTTCTCCAATAATAGGTAGAAATATATGTAAGAGTGGAGAGATTGACACCTAACCATTTGTTGGAGACTTTTAGTCAAACATTTTCACCTTGTTAACCAATTTCTATGCATGTTTAAAACTGTGGGAGAGGTTTGCACTGCTGACTGAAATATCAGCTCTGACGTGAATTGTGGTTATTGTGGTGAGTATGGAAGTGGAGTGGACCCAGGTGGCAGTGAGAAATGAACATTTTAATGATAATTACAAAGTATAGAGGTCCAGGCAGCACAGGTGAGCAATGAGGCGAAGAACTCAGACACTGGTAGCGCTAAACACGACTGAAACGCAACACAGGACAGGGCCCGACACGGAGCAGGTGACACAAGTGGGGTTAAATACACAGAGGGTAATCGGTGGAAACGAGGGGCAGCCCAAGATCTGTTCCAAGATAATGTCAGTAGTACTGGGTTTGATTCTTTGACGTTAAATCCAGTGGACTTTGCTTTGGGTACTGATGCGCAGTCTGTTCCCACTGTTTCCCGGGCGGGAACAAGAAGTTATCCAAAATGTCTTTGTGTTGCAGCATTAAGACTTTCCTTCACTGGAAATAAGAGAGCTGAACCCAGAAAAACATCCACACGCACACACAGTTGTACTCGGCTGTAAAACGATTTCTTTTGTTTCCGGCGTTTCAAAAGATTTCCTTTCGATTTTCTTCATCCTGAGGCTAATATTGATCTTGTCCAAGTCATTTTCTCTTTATATGTCCTCACTATAAACTGTAAAAGTACTGAACTCACACATTTCAGTCATGTCTTTTGCCTTCCTTGAAATTCCATCATAAATGAACATTAAAATAATTAAAGTATGTCCATATTGATCTCCATGTTTTAGAAGATGTTTTTTTCCCCTCCAAGTCCTTATTAATTTTGGTCTCTTGGATATTAGCTTATCATTTGTCTTCTGGTTGCTTTTATAACGTTTCAGGATCCATTTTAATATGCTAACCTGTTTAATAACAGGTTATAGAACGTCTTCTGCCCAAACTGCCTAGTTCCTGTCTGGGAACAACAGTTTTCCTGGTTAGCCTTCGCGGTGATGAGTGCCAGCCTCTCTACCTGATGTGTAGTTGTGATCTGAGCTGAGCTTGGTCGAGAATGAAAACAAGAAGCTTTTCTCTTGTCTTAATTTATGATTTTTTTTCGTAGAAATTTCCATGTAGATTTTTAGCACAGTTGATCTAGCTCAGTCAGCCTGCAGCCTCTGCTTGCTTCCCTCTGCTGTCCTCAGCATATAAATAAGACAAACATAAGTAGGTCAGACTCCCTCCAACCCCCACCCACTTCTTCTCTCACTCCTTCTTTCCTTTTTTTCTGCCAGACCCGACACCCTCATCTTTCAGCAGTTTTTCCACCTTTTCCATCTCTGTCTGTCCCTTTTACGTAGAAAACTTCCCAAAAACATCATGAGGTTGGCAGAATTTAGTCTTCCACCTCTCAAAGATGATCCACTGTGAAAAATTCCCTCATACAAACAAGCACAAAGGCCAAAAAATGTCTCATATCAGGGCTGAAAGATTGATTATAGTACAGAGGGAAAATATTATTTTCCAGCACCTGATGCGTCCTCTGATGGTGTTTTCTTCTTAGTTTCTGAATGATTCACCGACTTTTTATCAAGATTTATTTTCTCTGGCCAAGCACTCAACACAATCCATGTTTTCTAAAACAGGTCAGGAGAGTTTCACTGCAGACTGTTATCTGCTCTTCTGTAATTGTTTTAAAACTGAGCAAAAACAGGCATTTACTGTTGGTTAGTGGAGCATTTGACTAGCAGAGTGTCTTAGTTCTGCTACAGAAGGATGTTGTTTCTCATTTAGCTGCGTCTTGGGCAGTTTCACTACTAGCATCGTCTCTTTAAAGTTTAGGCCAACCTGGCACCATGGCATCAAGCTGGACAGCAGGACTGTGATCATTTCTGGGCACTTCTGAGATCTACTATGCTGTTACCTTAATTAAGAGGACATCTGTAAGGTACCTGGAGTCTGGACTGCAAGACAGTCTCTCCAGGTGACAATCACAGCAATAAAGACTTTAGGGACGGTAAAGCTTTTTTAAGTCCTGATAGCACAATGCACAGAGCTGTTCTTGACCAAAAGTTGAGTACTAATTTAACTAATTGAGGACTTGACCAAATGCTAGGACCTGCTCCACAATACCGGACTGGACCTACAGAGGTAGATTACACACGTTGTTGGTCTGGAAGGGTTTAACTATACAACTAGAAATGGTGGCATTTCTGATCTGGCACATGTCGTCTCCTGGAGTGAACACCAAAAACACACCAAGGTTTAAAACAAAGAAGAAAAAAGTTTCACATGTAAAGAAGTAAACATAACTGGCTTATTTTTGGCCAGACAAATAAGGAGTGCTGCAAAGACTTGTTATTGGCTCGGACATAGAAGAAAATCTTCAGCTTCACGTTGGACACCGGCGGTTCAAAGGTGAAACTACTGAAACCTCTGCTCTTCCTCGTATTTAAACTCAGTCGTGGAGATTTTACGGGATGTAAGTCAAAAAATCAGCTGGAACACATCTCCAAAGTCCCATGTATTCCATTCAAAACAATGGCATACTGTGGAAGCTCTGCCTGATGATGTGTTGCTGTTTCTGTACTTAGTTAAGAAAGTACAGAATATTTACTGAATACTTCAAAATAAATCTGTACTGGATTTCTTTAAAAAAAGTTTGAATTTTTTCAGCTATTATCCCTGAGTTTATACTATTAATAGATCCTCATTTTGATTTTTTCATATCGAAAACGTCCCACATACCTTCTTGTTGTTACCTCAAGCAACAACCTGTTTTCAATCTGGTCTGGTGTGTTTAATCATCCTTTAATGTATATCCCAGAGTAGCTGCTATACTCCACTGCTTGTTACTGACTGCAGCTTCTAAACGCTGTACAAAAACCATCATGTTTTCTAATAGATGTGGGTGTTACGGAAAACAGACCAGAGTTTCCAACCTGTTTCTTTTATTGTATTGATCAGAGCAAAGTTTAAAGGAAGATCTTTTTTTACTCCACAGGGCATTCCTGTGTGTTACAGAGAAGGGATGTAGAAAACTTTATGAATATTTTATAAATGTACACTTAACATCTGCTCAGAGTTGGCTTTGCATGAGTGAACGTAGCTTCTTGAAGTTTCACTGAAACGGAGCGGTGACTGAGGCTCTTTGTTCTGTACAGCCTCTGTCAATGAATGGTACTGGTACAGCCAGATCCATGCGGCGCATTTCAAGTGTCAGCTTCCTTTCTTTGGAGTTGTGGTTTGATGAGTCATGAACATGTCGAAGCAAACATCCTTTGGTACTAATGTAGCGTAAATAAACACAAACCAAGAAACTGTAGGAATGAGCAAACTCATTGGAGAGATTGTGATGTAACCGAGACACCGCCTTGAAGTAGATGTGTAAGAATAAGTGAATCTGAACTCTATGATCGAACTGCAAACCAGATAAAAGGATAGAGAGGATAAGGAACACGAACTTTTGTCCAATTTTACATCACTTTCCTACTCTGAGACACAACCTGCAATTTGACCTCTGACCTCCAGTTGAGAGCAAAAGACTTCCAGTAGCTGTTGAATCTAAAGAAGAGACTGACAGCTGCAACATCTGAACCTTTTTACTCCCATTTAATGGTGAATTTCTGCATCATTAAAACTACAACAGCTTCCACACCAAACAAATGTAGCGTAACATGCTCTAAACATGAGTTATGGATTAAGTGAAACTGAAAATAAGCTTACCAGAAAGCATGTTGAAATATGTTTTTGCAAAGTTTATATTTTAAATATAGACTTCATATGCTTCAGCCAGTATTGATTTAGACCTACTGATAAACCTATCACAAAATGTACTGGAATATGTGCACCATGTGCACCATGACCATGTATCAGTCATGTGGACAATCACATGATCATGGTGTACATGCACACATCACTGTACAGTATTGAAACTGTACATTTCATATTTTCTGTTTCTAAAACATGAAGAGCATGCCAATGTTAAAGGACTGGGTTAATAAATTTCACTATTTTGAATTGAACTAAGATGAACTCGGTGGACTTTAATTAAAATGCAGGTGTATTAGAATCTGGATCTGATTACTGGATGAACCTGGCAGATTGAGGCAATAATACAACCAGACCAGTTTACTTTGTATATAAAGTGTCTGAGGAAAATTTTTATTGTTGACCGAACCCATCAGCAATCTGAAAAAGGAAGAACACAAAATGAATTTGATATATTATTTTGCAAATAGATTCTTAAAGGCCTGATTCTACATTTATTGTCATTTCTTAACATTATTGCATGTGTTTGATGTATAAATTCAGCAGTGATCGTGAAACTAATGTGTATGTGTGTGTGTGTTTGGTCTGTGCTCCTGTGTCTTCCAGAAAGCCTACTGTGGCCACTGTAGCGAAAGGATATGGGGGCTGGGCGGGCAGGGCTACAAGTGTATCAGCTGCAAACTGTTGGTCCATAAGCGCTGTCACAGACTCCTCCCTCAGACCTGCCAAAGGCTTATGGTGAGTTATTCATTTGCACATGGGTTTGACAGAACACTCCGGTCAGAAATCAAGTTTCACGCAGTTGGAAAGTGTGAGGATGCGTTCCCTGAGTGGGAAAACGCTGTGGAGTCCAACATGTCAAAACACAGCGTGAAGCCGACATGGAGAATGAAATATTCAAGAATAAACTTTGCCAAAAAGGAAATACAATCATTTCAGTCCTGTTGTTTACTTACTTAATCCTTCCGTTGGTCTTATTTTCTGTGGAAAACTGTTCTTCTACTGGGAAAAAGTTGGTCCATCCCCAAATCTGATCTGTAAACATCTGGTAGTCTTCCTCATGCATGAAATGTTTCACCAGAGGACACTGCTCCAAATGAAATTAGTTTGGAGTTTCAAATTGCAGGCTAGTTCAGTATGGAGCTGACATAGCAACACACTCTTAATACATTCAGTCTGCTGAAGCTGTATGGGGAATTTTTCTGCCAACATTTCTTTTGTTCTCTAAAACTATGTCTTGTAATGCTTGTACTCAAAACTGCGCCTCTCGTTTAGACCTCAGGTTGTGGCTTTGGAGAAGGAGAGCAACTTGCCACGTTTGACTTCTATTTGTTTTGTTAGTTTGTTTTGTGTGTCACTAATGTATGGATCCACATGCCACTCTGAGCTACATTCCTGTTGGCTCATCCCTACACACAGGCTGTCGCAACACAGCTAGAAAATGAGCCCGATTATTTTTGGCCCCTGGATAATCAATAGTCTTTGAACCTTTCGGTATCCAAGCTGGAGCTAAATAACAAATGACCAGTCTTTGCAGTGCTCCTTATTTGTCTGGCCAAAAAAATACCTCTGTATTAACTTCTTTACATTTGAAACTCAGTCATCTTGACTGATTAGCTGGTCAATGTTTTGGTTTCTATCTTTCTTAGTTGACACACTGAACTTTGCTATGTGAGATGTTTTCTAAACTAACTCCACTTTAAACTTCTTAAGGGTCTAAGGGATCACCTGACCTTCAGTCACTGTTTGGCTGTCAGTAAGCATAGAACGTGTTCTGCAGCGTCTTAAGCGGTCACTCAGATTCCTGCTCCATCCTCTGTAAAGTTAGCTAACACTACAGCACAGCGCCGTGCTCCACCTGACTGGTCGAGTTGCCCACAGAGCAGAGCAGATTCCAAGCTCAGCAATCTGAAGACAGAATTCCAGATTAGAAAATCAATGTGGTCGATAATGCTAGCTCCGACAGTGAGCTCAGTGTCCTCTGTCGGAATATTGACCAGCATGTCATCATCAGAGGCAGATTAGTGACTCTGTGGCCCCAGAAAGATGAATGCCCGTTTCTGAGGGAGTCCGACATTCTTTTTCCTTAGGCTGCTTGTTTGGAAGCAACTCTAGAAATGCAGTTTTCTTCCACAGTCCTTGCTGATGTGATTCAGCATACTCTTCACCAAGAGTGTAAAAACATCCAAGGACATGTAACTGGATATCTGGGGTATCACATCGGTGGATATTTAGATGGAATTTTGAAATGCTTTTTTCAGGATCCAGTCATGCCATCACAGGAACCCCCTGCAGACGCCAAGAGAGAGGAGGTGGACGTCCCACCGGATGACACAGAGGACACAGACGGGAGTAAGACATTCCTTCTTCAAAGAGAAATGATCCCCAACATGTTTGTGTTGCTGCTTCGCCCTGTTAAAGAGATTTTAACCTTTAACCAATCTGGTGAACATTTAGTTTGAAATGTGCTGAATGATAGTAGCTCATGTTTACCAAGATATTTATTTACATGTTTGTGAAAAAATCTTTCATTAGTTTCTCAAATCAGCTCTAAGTAGCCAAGCTACACCGAAATCAAGACAATTGTTCCTAAGGACAAAACATGTGTCTTTGAAAAGCAACTAAAATGCCATATTGGATCTTAAGCTAACATATTTAATTATCTTATTTATGTTAGGACTAAGTATTTCTGATATTTCTATTTATTACGTTCACCCACTAGATGGTGCTGCTTTTTGCCCATTTAAAGCAACATGTGACCCTGTTTACTCTTTTCCTGCTACTGATGTTGAATAAATAAACTTTATAATGTGTTCTATATAATATTCATACATTGCAACATAATATACATTGTATATTTTAAGCTTTGGTAGTTTTAAAATATTGGTCTGTTAAAAACTAAAAAAATTATCAATATTTATCTTACAGATTTGAGGGAGCTTTCAATTTCCTGTGATTATGAGTTTTGTTGCAGTCGGTCAGTGATCCGTCTCGGGACTTGATGATTTCTTATGCTGAATGTATAATAAATTTGATAATTCTTTCTCAATTAATTAAATAATTACGTAATTCTGATCTGTGAAATTAAGTGACCACATGGTATTAATAAGGTGAAAATTTCCCAAAATGGAATTAATGTTCAATATGAATGAATAAATTAGGCAGTTTTAAAAGACTGCCATGTGAATATCAGCATATAAATTTTTTTCTGTGACGCTAAGCTTTTGAAAGGTTAGCAAAACACAGAATAGTTTTGCAAATATCCCCAAGTGCACGTTGTGCCAAAATAAGTATCTGAATCATCCCACTTTAAGCTGTGGGAAATGATCTCAGGTGGGTAGAGCAGCCAAAAGCTTTACTCAAGGAAATGAAGCACTACTTCTTGAAATGAGTCAAAGCGTATTTGGTTAAAAAAAAAGAGACAATTTAAGCACTAGAGCAGGACTAAGTTGTGAGAATGATTTCATCTTCATGGGTAACCTGGGCCCTCAGGGGTAACCTTTCTTGGCTCTAAGCCTATAATGAGTATAGTGCAAAAAATATGAGACCTCCCTCTGATGTAACACACATTGACATGTGTTATCTCAGTTAGTCCATAACCCGATCCTCCCACTGCAGCCTCTGTGTATGTATAATACCTAGAGCAGGAGAAGCTCAGGGTAGTATTTACAGTATTTAATTTGAGAACGAACCATGTGGAAGAACGTAACCATCGGGTTAGACTCCCCCTGATAGAGTCTGTTAACATCAACAATAGAATTAATTTGTCAAAAAGACTAAACCTTGGTCACTTCACCTCACATTCCTCATCACTGCTTATGTAACGCTCAGCTGTTATCTAACTACTTTAGCCCTACAGGCCTCCTGCTCAGCTGATGCTCCTGTTAAACTGGCTCTGATGGGCCGATCAGACTGACTGTTTGTTTGGAGTTGCTGTTGCGAAGAGCTGCATGGTTTCACTTGGTTTGATGTTTTCCCATAACTCTTATTTGTTATTATGTTTCTCCCTCTGCTGGCGCTAAACAAGATTGCATGTTTACGTTGCCGTCTGTCTCTTTTCCGTTCTTCACAGTATCCTTTCTGCCACACAACTGTGCAGTGGATTCAAGGGGAGATGCAGAGACGGAGGTGAGAGATTGGCCTGGTCACTCTTTCACTTAAAGCATCCAAACCAAAACTTATCGTACTGCATCCTCTGACTTACAGGACTCTGACCTCAATCCCCTGCAAGACATCAAGGCTGTAGTGGATGGCATCGACGGCATTAAGTTGTCCCAAGGCACCACTCTGGGTCTGGGCGACTTCGAGCTGATCCGGGTAATTGGGCGAGGTAGCTACGCCAAAGTGCTGCTGGTCCGGCTAAAGAAGAATGAGCAGGTGTTTGCCATGAAAGTGGTGAAGAAGGAGCTGGTCCATGATGATGAGGTGAGTGAGGCCGTGAGATTAGCAGAAACACGTTTGTTGTTGAATATTTTATCTTCCTGTGACTCAAGCTTTTATTATGGCATGACAATACTTGACCTGCTGCCCTCAGGGAGGTGCTACAGGTGCATCAAAACAAAACCAAACAGACTCAGAAACAGCTTCTTCCCAAAAGCAATTAACACCCCGAAAGCTCATGCACTAATCGTACGGTGGTTATATGTGTATGTGTTTGTATATATAAATTTAACTGATTTAATGTCGTAAATCATGTAAATATCACCATATTTTTGCTTATATTGTACATATTTCCTACATTGTTTGTACTGTTGGAGTGGACTTTAATCTCACTTTTCGGTGACAAACAATAATTCTGATTGAAACAATCCAACATTCGGCTTCACTAAATGTATATTAAAATAACCAGCATCTTATTTTGGTGGAAACTAACTTTACATCTTTGGTCCACAAAATTTTTTCTTACTAAATATTGCTGCCAACACCAACTTCAAATTATATACAAATACTACTACACGATTCAGAACAGTTTGGTTACATGCTGGAACAACAGCAGTAGCTGAAATGACCACTTTTTAGAGTATGCAGAATATTATATGGCAACATGTCAGACCTGAAAACAGCAGCAGAAGACAATGATGGATGCCACTACTGTCAGCTAAGAACAGGATCTGAAGCTACAGTCCAAACAGACTCACCAGAACTGGACTAAAACAGGTTGAAGTAATGGTTCCCAGTCGGATGAGCCTCTCTCTCATATGCAGCATTCAGATGTTTGTGTTTTCTCTCTCAGATGGTCTCGAACTGCCTTTTTTAAGGATTTTTGACTTTTATTTGATAGTGAGCGGACAGGAAAGTGGGTCATCCGTGCCTCTCTGTCAGATGAGCATGATGAGGTGATAAACACAATAATGAAGGTGATCAGTTTTCCTCGGTCATCTTCTTCCTACCAGCATCGCAGGGTGAGGGAATTTCTCAGAGAAGTTGATGCCAATGACCTTCTGCTGAACAACAACGTGAGACGGCTTAGCTAACGCAGCGCTTTGGCTTCTGATCCATCGGGAGGGAAATAACATCTTTTCTGGCAGAGCTAAAAAAAAGTCATAAGGGAACACAGTTATCTGAATTCCTAGAAAATGAGAAACAGATGAACAGCAAAGCCTTTTGGTTGACATTACTTAACATGCAGGTGAGCTGAACTTGAGGCAACAGGACAGGGACAATTCAGTTTCAGAGGAAACTTGAGAAGTTGAATGATGCCGTGCTGGTTCACTTCCCTGCAGTGCAGGACAAGGGTTAGGGACAGCAAGACACGTCTTCTTCTCTTGACTTTTTTGAGAAACTCACTGTAAACTTTTGACAGCTTCAGCTCACCATGTTCATTTAGAACCCATGTCAGAGGCTTCTCAAAGGAAGTCACACAGCACTTCAAGTGAGTAAAAGCTGGACATCTACACATGCAGCTGGTTGACCGCCAAGCAGATTTGGTCCTGAAGGAGCAGTTTGTCAGGACCAATCCTTCCAGTTTATGGCTCCAAATGGTTCCTGTTTCAGCTTTCCCATGTCTGAAGCAAGTAGCCTTGCAGATCTTGACCATGTTTGGCTCCAAACATAACTGTGAGGCAGCTCTCTCCAAGGCCGCACAACGTTCCCCTCCATCCCTTTTGGACATTTTTGCAGCTTGATAGCAGCGATATCATTATCTACCAACAGGGAAACCTTTTATTAAAAAGTTTGTTAAATGTGTCAACAACGGAGGACTTGTTTATCCAGTCTTACATGTTGGAGCCGGAGTCGTACCCAGAGCAGGAGAATGAAGACGGCAGAATTATGCATTCAAATAAATGCATTGCAATGGTGTTATTAGTGTATTTACACCCTGACCATCTATACCAATTACCATCAATAAGGAGCGTAGCTTAATTATAGCGTCCATGCAAATCAGATACATATTTAAATATTAATGCTACCACAATATGAATGAAGTAAGCAAAGCTTCAACATGATGAAGGATTTATCTAAGGTGAACATCAGGATCGTCACTGAATGCATTTGGGTTACGTGTTTCCCTAGACAAAAATGGTCAAAATAAAGCAAAACAATTATATTCTAGACTCAAAGAGGCAGCTAAAAGCTAGTACACAGCGCTAACAGAAGCAGAAGGCTAACGACACTATCCCACATCTGAAGCAAGTACCTCATTATATACACGCAAAATTGATGTCTAACATAAACTTTGCTGTCTTTTTAGCATTAACAGCTTGCTACTGTGGAGCACTTACCTCACAAGTCCACAAAACAAACTTTCATCCCAGAATTTGAACCCAGGACCTTCTTGCTGTGGAGGAACCATGCCATCTCGCAGTCCAGGCCTCTTGAATTCCGTGTCAAAAGGTTGAGACCTTTTCCTGTTGTGGGCAACGGGGCCCGGCGGATACCCGTGGTTAAACGGACGGCGGAGTCCGGCGGTAACAGGCGCTTAAATTCCGTGACAAAGGGAAGGGGGGAGAAAGGGAAAGAAAAGGGGAGGGAAAAAGGAGGGGAAAGGGAAAAAGGAAGGAGAAAAAAAAAAACTAAAACCTTGGTATTTTATTCTATGTTGCATGCCTTTGTGTTTTGTGTTTATGATGTAAAGCACTTTGAAATGCCTTGTAGCTGAAATGTGCTATACAAATAAAATTTGATTGATTGATTGATTGAACAATTTAAAACGGGTTCTTTGCTAAATGCTTATGTGTTGACATGACACTTGGTCATTCCTTCAGTTTTGGAGCTTTTCCGTGGATGTTTTAAATGTCACAGCTAGAAACAGACATTACTATGAAAATGATCAGGTACTGGACTAAAGACACCAGAAAAAGCAGTCAAAAAAATCTGAAAGAGTTCCAGAAATCCTGGAGAAGCACAGACGAAGGCATAGTTAATAGATTACAGGATAGTGTTGCTGTGTGGACAGAACATGGATTTTAAAGGGCTGGATTTAGAGTTTTTCCTAGCAATATATGTTAATATAGAACAATTCAAAATGGTATAATTTAAATTTGTGGGAGATGTGAGAATGTTTCCATTACTGCTCCCAGTGATCCTTAGTGCTGCAGATTGGCTGTTGTATTTTTAACTGGTCATCCAGCAGATGGTAGTATTGCTCAACAAATTCTCATAAAAAAAAGAAAAGAAAATCAACCCAATGTGTTCCTTAAGTTACACTTAAGATCAGCATCCAGCATCTTTACCCTTCAGTATTAAAGTGAACTGGACTCAGTAGTAAACTGGTTTTGTACCAGCAACGACTCGAAGGAAAACATTTTTCATCTTTTCACTTGAAAGTCCTATTGGCCCTGATTCTCTGGTCTGTTTGTTCACACCACTTTAATTCTTCTCAACTCTCCTTTAATCTGGCATCAGAGAAGTGTGGAAGCCTACAACTGAGAGCTAGTTGAAGTAGCTGAAATGAAAAGATGAAATACTTTTCTATTCAGTCGTCTGTGTGATTACAGAAGCCAACAAGAAGGAATTCAGAATCATGAGCACAGTATGCGGTTTGTGTTGTGCTGTTGTGAATTAGGCCTTAACCGTATAAGAGCACAGCATGGCGACTTAAGATGTAGAAACGGTTTATTGTAGTACACATAAAATGTGAACTTTAATCCATTTAACGACACTTTAAATCAGTATCAAACACTCTCGCCTCAGGCTGAGCTCTCTAGTTCTGATCAAAAACAGCTGACTGACGCCATAAATCCTCTGTGACTCTGTCGCACAATTTACATGGGATTTAAGGTGAGGTCCTGAATGTCCTTTTTCTTATTTTATGGTCTAATGGGGGAATTTTGCAGAGTGCTTTGAGCAGGGGTGTCCAAACTTTCGGTCACGTGAGCCAAAATCATCCCGACAAAAGTGCTCCGAAAGAAAACAGCAAAAATCAAGAAAATATTTTCCCAGTTTTATTTCATTTTTAGTTATTAGTTTAAAAAAAAATTTTCCAACATAAATTCAAAATATTTCTACATGGATTTTGCATGTTTGCTGTATTAGAAGAGCTTTCATAATAGCTTTCAAATTATTTTGGATTTGATTGAACATATTTCCAGTTATAAAAGCAGGATTTGAGTTACATTCTTTCAAAATGTTTGCTATATTTAGCCAAGTTTAATGACTTAATTAAAATAGTTGGTTTTTCAGTAAACATTTGTGGATAAATGTGGTTCTAATTACTATGTAAGCTTGGTTATAAAAAGATGAATACTTTGTCTTTACATTTTTATCCAAATAAACGGGTGTCATTCCTGAACGGCAGCTGGGACACACACACACACACACAAACAATCCAAGGCCCACAAATGGACCCTGGGCCACACTTTGGACACCCCTGTTTTAGAGCATCTTTGATATGATCTTTAGGACAATAGAAGTGAGTGTTGGCCACCACAAAGACCAGAAGGAGAACAGATTTTCAGAAACTAGTTTATAGTATTTGGTCAATTGTTTCTCTCCTGAAACATGCTTTTGAAAATAAATCTACTTTTGGAAAGCTGATTTAATTACCCTTAAATCAGCAGTTTCTCCGACTTTATGGGCTGAAATCCCCCCCATTATTCCTGATCACAGAACTCTCAACAACACCCACAGAATGCCTTCTGCTTTACTTTAGATCTATTCTTTCTTTAAAACAGGCCTGTACAAGGAAATGAGACCCGATGTCTTAGTGCTGCTACCTGAGCTGGAAAGGTTTCAGTCTGAACAACATGAACTGAAATAGTGGAAAAAAACTTGTAAAACTTCCATGTGCATATTCTCAAGGCGTAAATTATAAGTTGTAGTTTCAGCTAGGCAAGAAGAAAATGAATTAAAAGGCATTATATTGTTAAGAGTGTATGTGTTTATTTTATCAAAGAGGGATCTAGTCCTTCTGGCTGTTTCTTTTGGTAAATGAACAAAATTGATAATATGTCTTGACTTTTCAAATCTTATTGAATCCAATTATGAACTCCAAACTAGAGTCAATAGCAGAATAAACTGTTTGGCCCTAATGGAGGGCATTATGGATCCACATAGTCAACCCTGCTGCTCAACACTCACATGCATTTCCATTACAAGTGTGAGACCATTTAAAGGCAACTGAACACGTTCCAACAGTCTCAGATTTACTTCCAGAGCATGTTGCAGCAAAAGAAAACAGCAGCAAAGCACAAACAAACTTTCATGTATGTCAGGGACATAAATTCAAATTAAACTGTACATATTTCAGCTCCATCTAAAGCAAACATAGTGTTTACATTTTAAAATAAAGTTTTTTTCTATGGACCTGCTTAAAATTATAAAGTTAAAAAAGTCATAAATAAAAAATCAATGACACTGGTAATAAATTAAAATCATGCACTACCTTTGAATTCAACAAAGACAATAAAAAAAAAACCAACAACAAAAACAAATGAAACATGCTTGGACAGAAATGATGGGACCTGTAACTAAATAGTTTGTTGATTAAAAAAAAAAAGAAGCAATTTCTGCAAGTGATAATTTGCAGATTTCTCATTTCTCATTAGATTGCTTTGGTAGTTTTGAGATTCCTTTGTTGTCAGGCCGCTTTTAGCCCTCAGTGACTGAAAAATGTTTGACGTTTCTGAAATCTGATTTTCTTTTGCTTGTGCTTCACATTCTGCTCCTCAACATGAAATTATTCAGAATTACTTCATCCACTATGAATGCATTGTTTATTTACACAGAATACGTGTGCTTTAGTTGTCATTGTGGGATCATTGTTTTTTCTGATGCAGTTTTCTCAGACTGTCTTTCTACTTCTATCTGTATAATACATTTAGTCATTTCCAGTATAAAAAAAAGCCTTTATCACAAAGGGGCCAAATCAGTAAATAATTTTATTTACTGATTTGGCCTTGTTGTTATCACTGTTTTGCTTAAATAAGACTTCTTTTAATGTTCTATGAGGAATGAAACGGGATGTGCATGATAGAAACATTTGGGTCTCATGAGGGTTTCTACAGCATTCCTGAGCTGCAGTGATTCCTGTCAGTCTGTCACTTGTGTAAGTCATTAAGTTTGCAAGACAAGTTTCTAATGTTTCCTTGTTCCAGCCAATCCTTCAAGGTGCAGTCTGTTATCTGGGACGACTCAGAGAAGCAAACAGTCTAAATCACCCTGAGCATTAACACCGACTGATCGCAGGAGTGTCACTCTGTCTGAGGAAGCCTATCGATCAGACAGATTGATTGTAATTATCTGCCATCTCCGTCTTTGCTCTTCTCTGCAGGATATTGACTGGGTGCAGACAGAGAAGCATGTGTTTGAGCAGGCGTCTACAAATCCATTCTTAGTCGGCCTCCACTCCTGTTTCCAGACAGAAAGTCGGTAAGAGCCAGATAAGACTGACGGTGCTGATTTACAGGCCAGCCTTTCTCGGCTACAACTGTTTTGTGCTCTCTGAACACTAGGACATTTTAAATAAAAAATAAAAATGTATTTACTCCTCAGATCCTGTCTTGATATTTTCTGCCTTTAATAGAATGATAAATCAGCTAACCAATCTTTGGATAAGGAAGTCCAATATTCCTGCATTTGGATCAATATCTGATCAGGACATTTTAGACAGAAATCACATGACAATCTGCCGAGCAACTCCAGGCCCTTTTAAACAAATGCATGACTAAACAGAACTTTACACTCTGTCATGATATTCCTTTTTTTATACTTTCCTCAACATATTTGATCAGCTCTCCTCTCTTGTTTGCTTTTTGCACTACACACCGTTGTGTTTGCAGTTCTCAGTAGTCGTGTGATCACATTCCCTTCATAAGTTGGACACTGAAGGTTTTCCTGCATTTGCTGACGATTCTTACAGCAATGAATAAAGGCTTTTTTTACGTTACATTTCAAATCACATTAACCTATAATTTGTTGGTCTTAATTATCAACTAAGAGGCAAATCAACACCTACTGCTTGAATAAATGTACAAATTTACATTTAATCAAATGAATCTTTATTGACAGGTATTTAGTAATGAGAAACATCAGTAACCAAAGAGACTACAGAAATCAAAGGTGATAAAACTAAAACGCATAACCTATTTGTAATGATCAGAGTTTAGAAGGCGGTAGCTTGAATCCTAAATGAACCTTTGGTGACTCATTGTTCAACCCAGCTCAAGCATTAAGAGCTTCCAGACTTTAGCAGATCAACTCTGAGAATGTCTCCTTGTCTTATCTCATCATCCTTCTAGCTTTCATAAGTTGGGGAAAAGGAAAAAAGAGGTAGAGTTGCCCAGTCCATCCAGCATATTCCATTAGCATTTCTTAGTGGTCAGTAGTGTGAAAAATCCTAGAAGACTTGCTAAAAGCAACAGTGGAGAATGTTTTTAGTAAAGACGAAACAAAATGCAGAAAGTGTTTTTCTTCTGGATGGCATGAATAACGCAAACGGCTGAGAGAGAAGATTTTTTCCAAATAATCGTGTGTCCATCCTAATGAAACTAAAAGTATATCCCACCTAAATGAACCTCAAAATTTCTTCTCAAAACTTTTTTCTGAGATAGCGAGCAGAACTTTACTTTGACTAACCACAGGTATTTCTTTAGTGTGCGTTTTATTTCGAAAGTAATATTCAGTGTGTGAATGTGTGTATGGCAAACTGTAGAGTGAAGCCATTTATCATGTTAAATGGTCCTTGTTGATGTGTACCACAGTGTGGGTGATTAAAAAAGTCCTGGCTGTATTTTCAGGTTATTTCTGGTGATCGAATATGTGAATGGTGGGGATCTGATGTTTCATATGCAACGGCAGCGGAAACTCCCAGAGGAACATGCCAGGTAAGCATCCAGATGTTCAGCAGCTGTTTTCACACACGATCCAAGTCTCTGTCCAGTTCTGCAATCAGACCTCCTTAGCCAGCCTTCATTCACATGCAAGGCTACTATTATAGGTTTTTCATGTGTCGGCGTCATTTTGAGGTAGTCATTTAATTGTATTTGGATTTTCTGCATCCGCTGTAATAAAAATCTCCGTGGGCCAGATTAGAGCCGAGAGGCATCTGCTGCAGGGCCAGGAGGATCAGTAAACGGTGCTTTTATTGGACTTTGGTTAAGCTGATGTGACAGCTGCTCAGGAGACGCATGCGTGGAACCACCAGCTGTTTAAACGTGGACTCACTGGAGGGATGGGATGTTCTCTGAGAACAAAAAGCATCGGTTTTATGAAAGGATCTGGCGAAGTGCGGTCGGCGATAGAGACTAAAGATCTTTTTATAAACATTTTCCTCCGGGGCCTCCGTTTTCACACCGAGCAGATCCTCGCGGAGACGTGATGCTTCCAAATCTGAATCAAGACTTCTTTACATCTTGAAGAAATGCAGCGAGCACCCATAATTCATTGTGCCTGTCTGCTTCAGGGGCACTCCAACTGCAGCTCTGATAAATTTCGGATCAAAGGCTCTGTAATTTAGAGAGGCACCGTTGGGCCCCTGATCGGCCTCTTCAATCTGCAACCTGGAGACAGTGGCTGTACATATGCAAAGCAGCATGTTAAGCACTCATCACGATTGTACATATTCATGAGCCGCGCTCTTAGACAGAGCCCTGACGCGCTCCCCCGCGCAGTGGGCGACGCGGGTGATGCTGATAGGACATGTCTCTGCGCCGTCTGAAGGCAGCAGAGGAACAACAGAGGCTGCCAGAGCCGAGATGTGGGGGAGCGCCGTGGGATCTGTGATTCCTCTGTCAAACGCAGACTCCCCCCCCCGTCACTGTTTGACAATCATTGGTTTACAGCAGCCAGACACAGAAAGCCTTGTCAGAGTTAATGAAGGCTTGTCTCCAAGAGACAGAAAACACTACCTACACACAGAGAGAAAACACACCGCTGACTCACCAAAGAAGCACTCCAAGTACATTTTATCATCACCAAACGGCCTCCTAGCCTGACTCACAGCAGGAGACTGAAGGATCTGCTGCAATGTGCCGCCACAGCGCTGTCCAAAGTTTCACTTATTTAGCGGGAGAGTTTAGGAACCCTGCTCCAACGAGTCAGAAACTAGAGAAGCGCAAGGAAACTCAGAGCGACCAGCTCATTGACAGCAGCAGGAAACCAAATAAACTTTAATGTCTGTTTCCTTTTACACTTCCGAGAGTTTATTTTTTTGTTAAGTTGTGTGTGCCGTGATTAAGAACAACTACAGAAATATGTGATCACAATGCCATATGAAGTCATTTGAAAAGTGCAGTGACCCCTTCCACATCTGTGTTTTTAACATGTTTATTGAACTTTTCCATATTTTGTCTCATCACAACCACAAACATTAATATATTTTATTGAAATTTAATGTGACGGACCATGCAGAAAGAAAATGATACACAATTGACTGTTGACGTGAATATGAACACAAAAATGAAAACTCAAGAAAACCTTTTTTACAAACCTTTTTTTCTGGCTCTACTGTTTTACAATTGTTTTTGTATTTAATTCTGAAGTATCAGCTTAGTCCTGTGGTTTATTCTTTTAGTTATATACATTTTTATATTTTTCAAAGCTGGTGTCGCTGCGTGACTATTCAAACATTTTTTTCACAGATTTTATGCTGCTGAAATCTGCATCGCTCTGAACTTCCTTCATGAGAAGGGGATAATTTACCGAGATCTAAAACTTGACAACGTTCTGTTGGACCACGAAGGACACATCAAGCTTACGGACTATGGCATGTGCAAGGTCTACAAGAACCAAACATTTACTGAAGTTCTGACCGTGTTGTCTAGCAAACTGAGCAGCCTGAACTGGAAGCTCTAGCATAACCTCTGTTTTTGTTGTTGTCCCCCATTGATGCTGTTGCTCACATCACATTATAATCCACCTACCAGGAGGGCATCAGACCAGGGGACACCACCAGCACTTTCTGTGGGACCCCCAACTACATTGCACCAGAAATCCTGAGGGGAGAGGACTATGGTGAGAACATGCCGGCTGTTTAGTGTGATGGTCCAGAGATGGAACAATAGTTTAATTTCAGGATTTCTGTCCTGTAAGGTTGCTGAGCTGCTTTAAACTATGTCATACGTGAGTGTCTGTGAATGTGTGTTAGTGCTAAGCAGCAAAAGTGTTGCTGAGGTTAGTTTATGATGATGAACTTTGCTTTGTTACCATTCCGTCCTGTGTGTGTTTTCCCCCAGGCTTCAGTGTAGACTGGTGGGCTCTGGGTGTGCTGATGTTCGAGATGATGGCCGGAAGGTCTCCGTTTGATATTATTACTGACAATCCTGACATGAACACAGAGGAATACCTCTTCCAAGGTGAGACACAGTCATTTGCGCTGCTTGCCTTCACTCTGAACTGGACGTGATTGGGTTTAGTCACTTCATGGACTGAAAGGTCAACTGAAAACTCAAAGTATTCCAGAGGTTTCCTTCACTTGGCTCACTTTACAAATGCTTCATTTTGGTTTAAGCCTTAATAGTTGATTATACTTTAAATAACATTTTATTTGACGGCATGTCTATGTCATGAAATGACACTTCAAGACAAATGAAGTATACAGAATGTATACAGTGTGTGAAAGTTGGGCCATTTTTTACTATCTAGATTTTTTCAGTGCTACAGAGAAAAACTAGACCTTGAACTGGAAATCATCTTTGTCTGCATGATCTGGCAGTAACATACCGTAGGTCTGGACTAACGCTGAACAACTACAGACACACCATCCACTATCCAGGCGAGCGACGAACATTTGGAAAGCCACTCCTGATCAGTTTCTGCTGCTTCAGTGTAACTGGATGGAATCTGTGACTGCAAACGGTTTTCTTCAAATACCATAACAGTTCATGTTATCACATAAATCTTTAAAAGAGGTGAAATTATTAACGCTTGAACTCGGAATGACGTTGGCTGAAAACACATCCTCAGTATGAAGTCCTGCCCCACATGAGCCCTGGAGGATTTGGCAGTACATCATGGCCTCTATAACAAATGGGACTTGGTTGCATGTGAGGACCAGTGGAGTGTTTCCTTCATGCGTTTGCTTCATTTGGCAGCTGATGGATTTTTCATCGAGCAGAGATGGAGCCAGATCATTATCCTGAGCCACCTGAAATCACAGAACTCTCTTCTGTCGGTTCAGTGACGAAATGTTGGTGACGGATCCAGGGTTCTGAGCAGGAAATGCTTCAATGTTTGTCACTATTTTATTTTTATAAGGACACATTTGGAGAAATCCCAACAGTTGCTAGGGAGGGATTTGTCGAGATTAGTTCTTTAGACCTGCACTGTGTTATTCTGTGAGGACCAAAGCTAACTAACACAACAGTCACAGTAGGATGATAAAATTCAATTACATCTAATACAATATAATACAACATGACACAGAGAGATCCAATGCCATAATTCACTTTATAATTAATGCTAATGTGTTGAGGCGTGCTATCAATCTGAAGATTTTAATGTGTTGGCAATACATAAAGCAGATTAATCAATCTACCTATTTCTCTCCTGCTGAAGGTTATGTGGTTCACAGTACAACGTTACGGGCTTGACACAAGGGGAGCGACGAATGACAGCAGACAGCAACAAAAATTGAACATTTATCAACTTCTAGTGTTGCTTTTTCAGCCAAAATTTCACATGCACAAAGTATGACAGTTGCTTAGCTGGATGAGGACAAGCGACTGTCGCCTCGTCCCACCAGTTCCGTATTAACTAAATGGAGAGGGACATTAATTTAAGATTTTAGACAAAACCTTTAAACCTTCCTGAATACAAAAACCTGGAAAACAGAGTCTTCAGACAGGTTTGGTTTGAGACGATAAAACAATGGGGTATGTGGGGTATGGGAAGTAGGGGTGCCCAACGGGTCAGAGGTAAAATACAAACTGAATGATGCAATTTCTTGCACCTGTCAGAAATCAAGCCCAGGACTGACTCTACATGATGACCTAATCTGGCCTGAGCATCAAGAAAACTGTGTATGGATCTATGGATAGCATCTATGTTCATTCAACTGCAGGATGGCTGCAGCCCTGCTCACCACAGCAGGGTCGCTTTGTTCCAAGATGGAGGCCTCCATCTGTTGAGGAAGGACTCAACTTGGACAGCAGCTGAGGGAGCTGAATCAGTGTTTGGTTGATGTCATCAGTTTGCATCAGAAGCTGGACGTATCGAAGTGGAGGATCAGTCAATCCAGGAACAAATGAGCTCCAGTTACTAAAATGCCAGGTTTCACTGACTACATGGAAGTTACCATTTCTGTCAGTGAAATATTTGTGTCATAAACTAAAGGATTAGTCTTTTAATACAACATTTCACTACCTTCTTAAAACATGGACTGAAGGATGGGAGGTGGGTAGTCAGATTTCTTGAGTGAGGTTTTGGGGATTTTCTCAATCAAATAAAACTGATGTGGTTTTAAAAGGTTGGCCCAACTCATGTATTTACACAGAGCTGTTGCAACAACACACACATGGCTCCAATAAGAGGGAAACTAAACTGTGGCTTCACTCTAAGAAGATGTTCAAGTTTTCCGGGAGCAACATGTCAGCATCCAGAAACACTCTCAGCCGGTCGGATGATTGTAGACATGCACTCTGAGCAGAAACCAACATGTTCATCCCACCTGCTGTTTGTCAAGATTCTCTTCAATTTATTCAGTTCTAAAATACTTTATCAGTACCCTTTGTGTTGTTAGTCCATCTTCCAATTCAGCTTCCCTCTTGTTGTAGTGAACCTCTAAACAGGCAGTTATAGTTTCTCCTGAAGGAATGTTAAAACGTGGCTCCATAAAGTGCTCTCACTCACAACCTCCCTCAAAATCAACTGTGCTTATTGGCATCACATCTTTTTCTATCAAGCTAAAAAATTTCCGCATCATTCGTGGCACATCGATCATTTTTGATTGAGAAGTTGACAGTGCTCTCTGTCTTGCTGATCGGCTGAATAAACGCCAAGCACCTTAACTCTGTACGTTAAGGTGATAACTTTGCAACTAGCATCCGATAGCGGACTCTGTTTGGAGCATTCCTCTTTCCTTTTCTCGGATGGTTCCGCCATGTTTATTTTTCTTACAATCAGTTCTGGCTTCAGGATGATGATGTGCTGCAACACTGAAAGAAAGTGTAAGCTCATGTTATTAGTTAGTCGAAAGGAACTCATTTTAATATATTAAACCATTAAACAACAATTAGTCAGAAGTCAATCAATTGCTTGCATCCCTACTTTGTGGTTCGTGTGTGTATTTTTTTTCTTACATCAGTATACCGTTTTCTTCATGTTAAAACTTATAAACTGGACTTACTTGTTCACCTCAGTAGTTTTTAGGTATGTCTTTAATACCTGTAGCAGCTCTCTCTATAGAGACCTGAAGAGACATGTTTCATTTGCATATGGACAATCATCATTGGATGTTTCAATATTGATACAATTTTTTTGGATAAAAAAAGATGCCTGATACAGATCCAACTGTCTTGCCTCCAGTTTTGAACTTTGTTGCAACAGCGTGCTAAAGAGTGAGAGCTCAGCAGAAAGCGAGCTGTAGGTGTCATCACACTTCATCATTGTGGAGAATTTCTCTGCTTCTATTTGTGTTTGTGTTTCCTCGAGCCATATGGTCTCCTCACATAGCGCAACCCCATCACCTCCTCCTCTCTTCCTCGCACTGTCCGCAGCAGCAGAAATTCCTCCATACTACAGTGTGACGCACTTTGTCTCAGCTGTGACAGTCAGGAGCTTATAGCACAGTGCTACAGCTAGCATCTGCCACCAGTACCATCCTCCTGGTGGTTTTACTGTGGCTGATCAGCAGGTTTCCTGGACCAACGCCTGCCAACGGAAACCGACCCTTTCACTAGAAGAGCCACCCACCATATGGCACCGAGATGGAGCCGGTGCCATGGGTGTGCTTTGGCTGTCGGTGCAGCACATGCCATCCCCAGAGCTAAGACACTCGGAGACCAGAGAACATTGCAGTTATTCTGATAATCAACCAGAAATTTATGTCAAAGCACAAATAAGAGGGGAGAATTTAAGAAATGTAAAAATGAGCAAATTACCTCACAGGATGTAGATACATTATAAGAATGTTATTGAATTATTATGTTGTTTTACTGTACATAGTATTTAAAATGATACAATATTTGCAATGCTACATTATGATGTGGACTGAATCTAATTTATTTGTACTGAAATGGTGTTAGTGCCAAGAACTTTAACATAACCTGGTTTGCAAAACAAATGTGGGATTTTAGTTATATAAAAAAACCAATGTCAACTTAATACAGCATTCAAAATCCAACACAAATAAAAACACAAACTAATATTTGACTAATAGTCAATTTTCAACCCTTCCTTGACGTGAGTCATTTGTCTAAATCTCTCAGCCTCTCGATTCAAAAATAATGAAAAATATCTATCTAGACGTTAAATTAAATGTCATTGTAACTTGTATCATCCAAGTCTCGTCACAGAGTCCTTGCTGTAGGCAGGATGGATTTTGACAATTTCCTGGTATTATATGCTAACAGCTCAGTATTAAATTTGCTGAAGCTGCTCCTTCTCTATCTAGTTGTTTGGGCAGAAAGCTGTTGGAGTCTGGGTATGATCATTGCCTGCCATATTGAACTTCCTCCTTCTTTCTCCGCTCGCTGGTTCTGCTCTGCATCCACAAAACCTCCATTTTCTACGCCTCTGAGTTTTGGGGTGATGGCAAATGTTCTAATGTAAAACAGTCAAAATTCTTCCCTCTGTGCAGCATTCAGAACCAGAGCGATTAATTGTCCTAACATGCATAAAAAACACACAAAATAAATTTGAACTAAAGTCTTGAGAAAGAACAAATCAGAGCTAACAGAGAAATTCCTACTTGCTGCCACCAGGAGTGGCACGATTCCAGAAAGATCTAAAGCAGAGAAGTTAGTAGCTGCGGTTTGAAGTGTGTAAACGCCACACAGAGCCACTTTTCAGTGTGTAATTCTGAAACTGGAGTGAAAAAAAACTCTTTGATCACATTACCTTGAACAGAAATTCAGCATGAATGCTTTGGACATCCTTGAAGTGAGGTTTTAAGGTGAAAAAAAAAAAAATCTGTTTTCAAGCTCTTCTCATTTGTGCGAGTTCCAAGGTTATTAGTGGAGCATGGAACGTGATACAGAAAACAGAGCAGCGTTCACTTCGTGTCCTCCCTTCCTCCGACTCCCACTCAGCAGACATGGTCACCCACAGGCAGGTTGAATCATCTTCTCCCAACTCACGACTGCCCTTTCATTGTCTCTGTCTTCTTTCTCTTCTCCTGTTGCCGTCCTTCTTTTTTTTTGTCGACAGTTATCCTCGAGAAGCCCATTCGCATCCCGAGGTCTCTGTCAGTGAAAGCTGCCAGCGTGCTGAAGGGCTTTCTAAACAAGGTGAGAGCCATCCACACCCATCACCTCTGGGAGCTCTGTGTGTAGAAAAACAGCAAGGTGTTTCGACGGGCAGCAAAGGTCTCTGTTCAAACTTCTGTCATCCAGTTATTTAACGTAGATCATTATATTCAGCATCCGGTCGTGAAACGGCCTCGGTGCAGCAAAAGATGGGACGGACATTCACTACGTACTTGCAGGGTGTCTGTAAGCATGACTCTGACCAGGGTCTCATCCCTACAGGATCCCAAGGAGCGCTTGGGTTGCCAGGTCCAAACAGGCTTCACAGATATCAAGTCACACACGTTTTTCCGCAATATAGACTGGGACCAGGTAAGAACTGAATCACTGTGAGGTTTTTTTTATGTCGTTGCATTTTCCGAGTAAAAGTCCAACCTAAATTTGAACTTTAAATTGTCAAAATGAGAACATTTGTTTCATTGAATTTGAGCCTGAAGAAAAAGCCATTTTCAACACACCCAGTGCTTTTCAATAGTTTAGAATGTCATCAAAAAGGATCTCAGTGAATTCCAGGGTTGAACTGTGATAGGAACCTGTGCAACAAATCCAGTGGTGAAATTTTCTCCTTCTTAAATATTCCACACTCAATGGTCAGCTTATTATAAGAAAATGGAAGTGTTTGGGAAAATTAGCTCAAGAACAGTGAGCTTCATGGAATGGGTTTCCATGGTCGAGCAGCTGCATCCAAGTCATACATCACCAAGTGCAATGCAAAGTGTCAGATGCAATGGTGTGAAGTACGATGCCAATGGACTCTAGAGCAGGAGATGCTCATTCTCTGGAGTGACGAGTCACGCTTCTCCATGTGGCAATCTGATGGAAGAGTCTGGGTTTGGTGATTGGCAGGAGAACTGTTCTTGTCTGTCTGCATTGTGCCAAATGTAGAGTTTGGAGGAAGGGGGATTATGGTGTGGGGCTGTTTTTCAGGAGCTGCGTTTGGCCCCTTAGTTCCAGTGAAATGCCTTTGTGGTGCAAAGGCATTGTGGCGCAATGCCTTTGCACCACAAGGTGTGGTTGAACTTGACTGGCCTGCACAGAGTCCTGACCTCAAGCCTACAGACCACCTTTAGGTTTAATTAAAGTGGAGACTGAGAGCCAAGCTTCTTCTCCAACATCAGTATGTGACCTCACAAATGCACTTCTGGAAGAATGGTCACAAATCTCCATAAACACATTTCTAGACCTTGTGGACGGCCTTCACAGAAGAGTTGAAGATGTTCTAGCTGCAAAGAGAGATGGACAGTTGCTCCAGTTTGTTCCCCAACTCTTCAATGCACTTTGCCTCACAATCCTGAATCCTTTACCCCTTTCTGTGCAGCACTTTGGGAAGATCCTGCTTCTCTAATTTTTGGTATTATAAAATATTAAAATATTCGTAGACACTGAATTTTGGATTTCTATTAGAGATAAGCCACAGTTATCAAGATGAATGAAAACCAACTATTGAAATATATAGCAGCCCTTTATTTGAAGGAGTGTGTTGACATGGCACTGTCATGAACATGAAGGACATTTGTGAATGTTTATGACTCTTGACATGAATTGTCATTCGGTAAAAGACATGAAGGCTCCTACATGTTCATGACAGGTGTTATGTCATGTTTATGACAGTGGCCTGTCACTCTTATGCACACACCTTCCAATAAAATGTCACCAAATATATTACGGTGCATGTAAGGAATCTCCACGAGTTTCACTTTTTGTATTGCATCTTTAAAATACAGAAACCTTTTGATGCCGTTTCATTTTATTGTAATACACACAGGTGTAAAATAATTGTTGATAATCCTCTGCTAATAACTGAAGCCCTCAATAGCCACTTAAATAACTTGAAATTGATAACAATGATAATCAAAATGTTAATACAAAAAAATACCAATGAAAATCAGACATTACTTTTGAATGGTGGCTCACAATAATCATAATAATTTAATTAAACAGGTCTGAACAAAAATTAAATCTAAAGCCAGGTCTGGCTTTAGATGTAATTGGTTTTGGTCTGGCTTCCCAGATTTTGTGTTTGCTCCGTGGTTCACTTACAGACCTGGGACACCCTTTTAATGTTTTATATTTAGAAATTTGGAGCTGTGTCACACTGTCTGAGCCCCTTTATCAAATCTTGATCGTCAGCCATATCAGACGGCTCAGAGTGAGACTGTAAGACACAACATGACACCCTGCTGTAATAGGTCCAAGTGAAGTTAGTGACGCGGCGCAGAATTGTGGGGGGTTTAACAGAAGCAGAGAGGCAGTCAGCGATTTGCTTGTTTTTTCTCATGGGATCCAAAGGTTAGTGAAATATGTCGGTTATCACCCAAAAGAGCAAAGTTCAAAATTAAATATTGACATCAGCCAAAATTTTCACATCAGCGCCCCCATACTCCACAAATACTAACTTTGATGCTTTTCCCATGTTTAGAAGACCAATTTAAACCCTCATCCACTTGATTTAGGACAACCTTTTTGAATAAAACGTGCGCAGTAATATAAGAAAAACCCTGGAAATAACCCTAGAATTATCTCTGATTCCCATTTAGAAAAGGCTGTACTCCACATTTTCCTGTCACCTGGCATTGTGTGTTGCTTCCTGACAGACAGCTGCTCACACATGATCTGTGCTCTGACTCCACGCCCTGACATTTCACTTAAAACACATCTGAAAAACAACAAAAGGCTGCACGCCCACATTTAATGTGAGTCAGCTCAGCACGGCAGAGCACGCAGCCGTCATTATGCATTCTGGAGTGCCTTCATCAGCCTCTGGCTCTACTGTATATATGAAGGCCTTAAACAACACACAGAACACACCCTCCTGTTGATGATCAGGGTGTGGGGAGGGTGTTAGAAACGACTGATGTAGTTCTAAACACTGCGTCGACTCCTACACCACGTGTTCCCCCCCCGGGTGAAGCAACAAGGCAAATAAAAGGGAATCATTAATCACACACATACTCACTTATTCATTCTGAAACATTTGTGCTGCACTTTACTTTTTATTCACACAATAAAAGGATAAAAACAGTGGCAGATCAGATTAAAAATAATCGTGTGGGTTTTTAGAATTATTCTCATCTTAATGTATGTTTATCACAATTTGAGAAAAATGGTGTCAGTTTCATAAAAAAATGGACAGAATTCAGTCCAGTGGGTCGTCAAAGGTTTCTTCAGTAAGTATGCATAAATATTTAATTTTCAGAAGGGCGTCTGAAGTATTTGTGAATTCTCCCTGCAATAACTAGTGTCTACTAAAAAAATAATTGAGCTTGGTTCAATGAATGTGTGTGGACATGGACCGTCATCAGAACTGATCTCTATCTGGAAGCTCAAGTCTGATTTGAGTTGGAAGCATGTGTAATGAGTTATTAGATGAACTGCACATGTGACTGTGATTGTGACATGAAGTCATCTGTGGGCCTCGTGTGTCTAGCTTTGTGAAGTCAACACACTGGCGAGAAGTCTATGTTCACCTGCCACTTTATGAGGTATGTTGAGCTGGTTCGGTTTTGGAGCCCTTTCCCGTTCAGATCCTCCTTAATTCTTTGAGGCGTAGAGTCAGCTGGACCGGTGGTCTGTCCACGGTGTACCACTACTGCTGAAACAGAGACTGAAGCAGGAAATGTTTTTTTCCAATCTGGTACTGTTGAAAGTCAATGAGCCGTGTTAATAGTAGCCTTAGTTTCCTGTTTTCTGCTGCTGCGGCCCAAGCTTCAAGCTTGGTGATCAAAGACGGTGTTCTGCTTACATTACCTCTTGATTAGAACTGCTGTTGCCTTTCTGGCATCCAGAATCATTCTCCTCTCCCTCTGACAGCAACAATAACGTTTTATCCACTCAACTGCTCAATAGATGCAGTATTTTCTCCTTCTTTTTCTGTACACCTGGGAAATGGTGGCTGAGGAACATCCCAGTACCATCCAGTCTTACACAAACAACCAAAGTCTCTGAAAATGCCCATTCTGATGGGATTCTGGCTTGTTTTGAGATTTGTGTATTATTCAGTATTACTTAGCCTCTTTCTTTGCTTAGATCAGTCTTGTGTGTGTTTTACTTTAGTTTAGTCCTTTCCTAGTGATTGTAGTTTATGATGTTTATTTCTTGTTTTGAGTTATTCCTTGTCTAGTTTAATGATGTTCCTTATTTCTAGTTATTCTTTAGTGTTGTATTCATTTCCTTGTCTCTTATGTACTCTCAGTCTGCCTTCTGCGCTCTTCCCTCACACCTGCAACCTGCTTCTAGTCGGCCATCTGTTCCTTGTTCTAGTAATCAACATCCCCAGTATATATACTACTCAGCCTCAGTTCCTCCTGTTAAATCCTGCTACAAGTTTTTGTTTATCATCTTTTTGTGAAAGTTTCAACTCCACTCTCTGCTGCTGCTGTTTCTGTGAATTTGGTTCCACCATCACCGACGTCATGACACATTCGTATTCACCACATCTCAATGCCGAGATGCATGAAGATCCTGTCATGTCATTGGCTCATTTTCTGTTTGTGTGGAGCTGAATTTCTCTCCATGTTTAATGCTGAATGCATTTGATTACAACAGTTGCTATTCAAGCAACATTTAAGTTCTTGATTTTGGGAGCCCATTTTGTTTGATGGAGTGCATGTTTAATGTACTTTATTGCCTCCGTCAGCATACTTCAGCTTGGTAGTAATTTGTGGTGAGATTCGATCCAAAATGTTTAATTGAGTTAAATGCAGGGTCTATTATTAAATCATCAAAATTTATTGCATTATAATAGAAAATCATATTCCAGCAAAATAGACATTTATAATTTAAAAACCACAAGCTCAGATTCATTTTGAATCAGCTTAAGTTAAATAATAAAACGTTAATCAAATGATATATAAACAAAATAAACATTTTCAATTCAAAACCCCTCTTAGTTGCCAAGTAGCTGATAGAAGAAACATGAGCTCCACAGCAAAGTCATTTACAGCTGTTTAATCTCCTGGTTCTTCAACCACCAGAGTGGAGCAAAGTGCTATTCTGGCCTCTCACCGTTCTGGTGTTTCAGGAAGCCCTGATTGTTCATGGAGCTTCTATGGAAACGTGGAGATCCAGAGGACATGCTGGAAGGACTTTGTTTCCCAGATGGCCTGGGTTCTCCTGGAGGAACCCTGGCCAAAGTGTCTGGGGAGAGCGAAGGCTGGTTCTCCTTACTTAGGCTGCTAAGTTTGACCCAACTTTGGAGAAGCGGAAGAAGATGAATGGACAAACCGACAGATTGTGAATCCTGACATTGGGGACATCTGTGCTGCCGAAGCATGTTTAGCAATTGAAATGCTATTTGAGGCTTGAATAACTGC